GGAAGGGAGGGAGCACTGTTTGTTTTGTTTTGCTTTGCTTTGTTTTGTTGTTCTAACTCTGGCAACCCCAAACAGATAGCATGTTGTAGCTTATGTAAGTCCTGAGACCCAGAGAGGTGATGGGGCTTGCCCAAGGTCACAGCAAGGTCCTGGTCGGGACTGGGTCTGAAGCCAGGCCTCTTACAGTTCTCTGGATCTGTGTAGATACAGTAGGCGACCTTAGTGGCCACTTCGGGGCCGTCTAACGAGGCCCAGAAGTCACATCCCCAAGCAGACAAACAAAAGCAAACTTCTCTGCCACCTGTATGGTAATGTGAACACAGATGAGAACTCAGAGCACTCACTCGTACCTTATTCGGTGACTGCTGAGTGGGGACAGACCCTGGCAGGCTGGGGGGTTGGGAAGAAAGAGAGTGTGTCAGTCTGTTCTGGCTCCTGACAAAAATACGATAGACGGAGTGGCTTGTAAACGACAGACGTGTTCCTCACAGTCCTGGAGGCCGGAAACCCCAGATCCAGGCACTGGAAATTCAGCCTCTGGTGAGGACCCTCTTCCTGGTTTCTGGACAGCTCTCTATTTGCTGTGTCTTCATGCAGTAGAAGGGACAAGGAAGCTCCCTGGGGTCTCTTTTATCAGGGCACTAATCCCATTCATGAGGGCTCTATCCTCATGACCTAATTGCTTCCCAAAGACCCTACCTGTAAATACCATCACCCGTTAGGGTTCAACATGTGAATTTGGGGGGGACGCAAACATTTAGTCTATGGCAGGGAGCAAGGATGAAAAAGTCCAGCGTCTTGAGAACTGCTTGAGATGGGTCACAGAGGAGGGGTCAGGGTTAAGACCTTTTATAATCTGACCCTGGCATACCTCTCCAGGCCGCCTCCTGCTCTTTCTCACTTTGTACCCATTTACCCCCTCCACCCATCCATCCAGGGGCCTCTGCTTTCCAGCCTCCTAGGCTTTGCTCATGCTGTTCCCTCCGCTTGCCAGCGCTTACATCTTCCGAGGCCCATTTCAGTGTCCTTGTGCCCCACGCACATGCAGCTCCTTGTGTTACGCCTACCCGTGTGTGCTGCTTCTACTCACCAGAGACTTCTTGAGGCCGAGGGTGTTCCCTTCTCCTCTCTGGACACCCTACACTGGGCCTGCGGTGTGGACAGCCTGCAAATGTTGGGCCAGAGCGAGGGGAGGGGAGCGGGCCCCCACAGCAAACCTCCTGCTTTGCGGTTTTGCCGAGAGTCTTGGACGGTCCCCAGCTTGTATTCGAGCCGGGCGATGGCCGGGTAGCCGGGTGCTCCCTTGCAGACGGCCCGTCTTCGCGGAGTGTGGGTTTGGGGTCCTTCAGCCCGTGCTCCCGGTGGGGTCTGGGAGTGCCAGCCTGAGGACGGGACCTGTCTGTGACATTCACCCAACGGTCCCCAGGGCCCGGAACGGTGTCTGCCATGGGGCAAATGCCCGTAAACTCTCGTGGGCTTGATGGATGGGCCGAGGGAGTCAAGGCGACTGTCAGTGCGTCACCACATGCTGTTTGGGGCACCTCCGACCCGCAGCAAGTGGGACGGAGCGGTGTGACCAGGCCCGCTGCCGGGGAGGCATGCCTGTGGGGCTCGAACTCCCGAAGCACGAGGCCATGACCTGAGCTGAGGTCTGATGCTTCGCCGACTGAGCCACCCAGACTCACCCCTAGATGAGTCTGTATCTTCGGGACTGGAAGGTGGCCTGAGGGAGGTCGGAGAGGGCCGCCAAGGCCACTGCCTGGCAGCTCTACCGTGGGAGCGCGGCCAGGAGGGTTTTCCGCAGGGAGTGACGTCCTGCGCTCTGCATCTCAAGGGGGCCCTCAGGCTTCTGTGGGGAGACGAGGTGGGCGAAGGAGGAGCTGGGAGGGCCGGGGCATCCCCCCCTCGCACACGTGGCCACCGAACCCAGGAGGCCTCAGGCAGGGTGGTAAGAGGGGGACAAGGGACAGGCTGGAGTCAAAGCCACCTTTTCGCAAAGCCTCTGGTGGTGGAGGGACCGCAAGTTCTTGAGGCCTTAGCTCTGCTTCCCCTCGCCTGCCCCGTGCCCCGTGCCCCGGGCCTGGCTCTGCCCTGCTCGCCTTGAACCCAGGACCCCCGAGGACTGCAGGTCACAGTGTTGCAGAACGCCGGGCGCCGATAGAGGGTGAGACGTCTAGGTTGATGAGGGCCACTGCCTCGCCAGTATTGAGCACTTCCTGTGTGCCCCCAGCACGTCCCGGACCAGGCCCGTGCCATGCTGGGAGGGGGGGGAGGGGGGACACCTTCTGTGTCACAGTCCGATGAGGGTGAGACCCATCGGGGGGGCATCTGAAGCTCGAGGGGGACGGGAGTTGCTCACGGCCACATGCGTCTCTGGAGCCAAACCAGAGACCCAGTGACCCCAGAGCTGTGCCACAGCCGTGACCCTCCCAGGCAGGGACGGCACCCCCAGTCCACGGCAGCGTGAGACCTGGCGAGAGGGCCTCCCTGAGGAGGTGGCGCGGGGGGGGGGGGGGGGGGGGGGGGGGGGGGGGGGGGGGAAGGCCTGTGCGGCGGTGAGGAAGCAGCCGCAGCGAGAACAAGGGGAAAAGGGCGCTCTGGGTGGAGGCCGCTGCAGGGGCACAGGTCCTGAAACCGGGGACAGCTTGGCATGTTGCAAAGAGAGGGACCGGGGTGGCGGGAGGGCGGGAAGGAGGGGGAGCCATGCGTGAGTTCAGGGCCATGTTGTCAAGGGCCGGCTCCCACGAGGAATTCAAAGTCTCCCCCGGGGCGGCTCGACCCGGGCGGCTGGGTCAGTTGAGCGTCCGACTTCTGGCCGGGTCACGATGTGGTGGTTGGTTCGTGAGGTCGAGCCTCACGTGGGGCTCGCTGCTGTCCGCGCACAGCCCGCTTCAGATCCTCTGTCCCCCTCCCTCCCCGCGCCCCAAAAAGAAAGAAATATCCAAAAATAACGTTTTTTAATCTCCTTTTACAAAACCATGGGGTGAGCACCCCGACCACGAGGCTGGCTCCCTTACAGGGTGTGGCAGGGGCGCGGGCGGCCCAGTGAGGCTGCTTGACCCCGCCTCCCGCACCCTCCGGCTCGAGGTCTGCTGCTGCTCAGGCGAGCAGGCCTGGGTGCGAGGGTATCCGTCCACCTGCAGGGCTGAGCTGGCCTGCAGACTCACGGGGGCCTCCCAAGGCCCCCACCCCCCGAGGGACACCACGTTCTCGCCCTCGTGGGTATGGGGTCGGGTTTGGGTGGCGTGGAAACCCCCGCCCCTGGTGTCACCGCCGTCGGCGCCCGCTTGGCCCCGTTCTCCCGCACGTTCAGCCGTCAATGCCGAAGTCCTGTGTCTGCACGGTGCTGGGTTCCCGGAGACCCCGTGTTCCGTGACACGCGTCGAGTGTGCCTTTCGGGGACTGTTCCCTGAGCGTCAGACTGGGAGCTCAGGCTCTGGAGTTGGCCACGTCTGGGTTCGAATCCCAGCTCTGCTACCTGCTGACTTTCTGACCTTGGGGAGTTACTTAATCCCTCCGAGCCTCAACTCCCTGATCTGTGAAATGGGGGCGAGGCTGGTAGCCGCCTCAGGAGGGTTTTTTTTTTGGTGGGATTAAATGAGATAGAGCATCTAAAGGTCAACTCGGCAGGCTGCAGGCTCGTGGCCGGAATCCTGCCTCCTGTCGGCTCTTCGTCCTCATGCTTGTTCCTGCCTTTTGGAGGGAAGACAATGTCGGCCGTTGGAGTGGACGCTCTCAGTGCCGGGACGGCAGCACCAGAGAGCCCTAGAGAATGTGGCAGGGGGTGAGGGGGGCTCCCACCAGGCCTGCTCTGCAGGTGGACATGGGGCGCAGGGCTGGGGCAGGGGCTCTTGGAACAAAGCCAGTGGCTTTGAGGTTTTTCTTCCCAGCACACACTTAGGAAGGGCCTCGAATGCAGAGCAAACAGGAAAAGCAAAAGCACCTTGGAAGTGTCCCCAGAGAAAGTGAGCGAGCACGAGCCAGTGTCCCCTTCCTCTAACCGTGTGCCCTTCTCCCCTAGTGCTCCTGCGGGAAGAAGTGTCCCGGCTCCAGGAGGAAGTCCACCTTCTCCGCCAGATGAAGGAGATGTTGACGAAGGACCTGGAGGAGTCGCAGGGTGGCAAGTCCTCCGAGGTCCTGTCAGCCACCGAGCTCAGGGTCCAGCTGGCCCAGAAGGAGCAGGAGCTAGCCAGAGCCAAAGAAGCCTTGCAGGGTAAGTGACTAGTCGGTGGCAGTTCCCTCCCTTCCCTCGCCTGGGGCTCAGGCTTGGGCCACAGGGGCACCGAGGAGCCGGGGTCCTGCCTCTGCAGGGGGGAGTGGTGCGGACACGGGGGTCTCCCAGCGCCTAGACCCCCAGCTGAGGCCGCCCTGTCCCCTTTTCAGTAGATGTCTGCCTGTCGCAGTGTCGGAGGCTTATGTCACTCCCTCCTCTGGGTGACCGCCACCTGCTCTCCATAGTGGCCGTCCAGGCCACCTCCCTCTGAGGCGTGAACGGCAGGCGGGCGTCTCTGCTAGATCAGGATGTGGACCCAGCAGCTGGGTCTCCTCTTTCCCGCCATTCTCGAGGTCCTTAAGCACCTCCCTTCACGGGACGGTGTAGATGCGCTGAATCCTCTGCTGGAGGAGGCGTCCGTCCACCACGTTCGCTCTCGTTCAACGTGGCGGTCTCTCGGGGGGGCTCGGGGCCCTTCTCCCGTGGTCGGCCTGGAGGGGGCTCCCCTCTGAGAAGTGCGGTGTCCAGTGTTCTCTCCGAGGAGACGAGAGAGGAGGTGGGAGAGAGTGTGGTGCTTTCTGGCTGAGCCGGGCCACCTGTAAGCACCACGCGGCCAGCCAGAAGCCGCTTTAGGGAAGGAGGAAACCAGCGGTCCCACGTGTGCAGCCCGCTCTCCCTAGAGCTGGCCTGGGACACTAGCGGCTGGCATACCCATCACTCCTGGGGGCCACCTGCCCGCGCTCTTTGGGGCTTGGGAGGGGTCTCAAAAGGTTATTCAAGCAAGGTTGAGAGTCATCCTCTAACAGTGCGTGGAGACCTCGGACCCGTAACCCAGGGCAAGAAAATGGCCTTTGGGGCTTCCTGGATTCTCTGGAGGCCCCCTTACTGTCTCTGATTCTCCTGGGCAGGGCGGGGGCGGGGGAGGGGGGGAAGCAGTAAAACTTGGCAACCTGCTTTCCACGTGACATTTTACTAGAATGATAAATACCCTGAAAACTTCATTTTTGAAGCCAAAGCGGTTTCATTACTTAGGTTGAATTCAGGCTGCTATAGCAAAGACATTCCAAAACAGAGTGGCTTAAAGAATTTGTCTCTGTCTTCCATAACCACCAAGCGGAGCATTTTAGGCTGCAGGGTATCTCTGCTCTCCTTCGGCCTGGGGGAGATCCAGGGAAAGAGCCAAAATCGAGGGGCAGACGTTCCCTTTGGCAAGAGCTTGGTGATAACGGCCATGCCCGCCTTCAGGGAGAGCTGGGGAATGTAGGGTCTACCTGGGCGTCCTGGCCCACCCACTGGGCTAACTGGGAGGGAAGCAGGGGCGGGGAAGGTGGGTTTTGCAGGCCAGTCAGTCAGCTCTGTCGTAGTGGGTTTCCCTGCCCGGAGCTGGGCTATGAGCAGCAGAACATTGGCACACTGGCCAAGCAGGCTGTCTGTCCAGCGTCCCACTAATGTCCCCCAGGAAGTCTGGAGAATCATCTTTGAGGGTGCACAGCCCCCTGTGAATTCTTTTCAGCAATACGTGTTACTCATAAAGACAGGTGAACCATTTCCTGCTGGGGTAGTGCTTCCGGTGGGGCCACTCAGTGTTCTGGGTGGTGTCTTCAGGCCAGAGGGGGCCGGTGGGATGTGCTGTGGTCCAGCCGATGCTGGGCGATTGGGAAGTCATCGTGCCGGGCACGTACGCATTTGCTGTCTGTGCAGCCATCCAGGAGTCTGGGCAGATCTGTGCAAGCTTCGAGCTTCTGGGGGTCTCCTGACATCACTCCTTTCTCAGGATGGAGACTCCAGTCATGGGAAATCTCCCTGAGGAAGTGCCTCGGGGCCTCGGGCTGGGCGAGCTGGTGTCCTTGGTCTCCCTGAGTGCTATGACCCTGTGGAGGGTTGGGACTACCTTGGACGCAGTCCCAGCCACCTTTGCCAGTATTTATTCCAGGGACGGGGAAGCCTGCTTTCCATGTCCTTGACCAGGGAAAGAATTCTCACCCATATTTGCCCTTCTGGACCCGTCTGGGGATGGGGGGGGTGGGGGGGGGGCAAATCCTAAGTTGTTTCTCGGTCCAAAGGAATGGGCAGGGGGCTAAGCAGAAGCTCATTTACCCATAATTCCCCAGCTCATGGGACAGACAGTCTGCCCTCTCCAGACCTCGTTCCTGGTCTGAGGACTGAGGCGATGTCTGTGAGGGTGGAGAGCTGCCTGTTAAGATGTGCGTGCTTGGGACGCCTGGGTGGCTCAGTTGGTTAGGCGTCCCGACTTCGGCTCAGGTCACGATCTCCTGATTCACGGGTTCGAGCCCCACGTTGGGCTCTCTGCTGTCAGCGAGGAGCCTGCTTCGGATCCTCTGTCTCCCTCTCTCTGCCCCTCCCCTACTTGTCCTCTCTCTCTCTCTCTCTCTCTCTCTCAAAAATAAATAAACATTTATATATTATATAAACATTAACAAACATTATCTTCCTAACTCTGTGCTGTTAAGGCGTCTTATCCATCACCAGAAGTCACGCACCGGCACGGAGATCTGCCGGAGGGAGTGGCTCCCTTGTCAACAGCAATCTCAACAACAAGGGCTTGTCAGTATTCATGACCGGAAAGCCTTCTTGAGCACGTACTGTGTGCCAGCACTGGATCTGTCCCTCACCCCAACCCTACCAGGGGGTATCAACCCCCTTTCCCAGATGGAGACACCTGAATGAGGTTCAGAATGGTTAAGTAACTTGGTCAAGGTTATAGAGCTAATCACAAGCAGAGTCAGAAACTTTCCCCTGCAGGAGCATCCCTCTTCTTCCCTCTGGGGAATTCAGTCCAAGTGGACGAGAGCAACAGGAGGCCTTTGTAGCTCAGGAAAGGGGACAGCAGACTCTGGAGTCAGATCTGGACTTGAATCCCAGCTCTACCTAACTTAATAGCTGCGTGACCTCGGGCAAATTCCCTAACCTCTCTGAACTATATAGTTCTCTTGCTGAGGGTAACAAAACCAAAGCTGTTTCTCTTATAATTGGGGCCAATAATAGTAGCTACTTCAAAGGAAGAGGACAAGATCACTTGTCATCAGGATTAAATGAGATATAAAGTGCTTGGCCCAGTGCCTAGTACTGTTAGTGCAAATACTTAGTGATTACCGGACGAGAGGGGGCTTGGCACGCCTCGGATCTGCCTGAAGATGTTGGTCCCCTGATTCCCGTTAGGGGTGGCCCGGACCTTAGACCCCCTGAGCCCACCGAAGCTCAAGGTCGCGGTGGTTCCCAAAAGCAGTGGACACCTTCAGCCGGCCCAAGCATCCTGCCCGGCATTCTCCAAAGTCATAAATAAGACACTTTCTCCCCAGCCACAGCACGTGGTGAGTAAATTGCAGACAGATGTGGGCAGAAGGAGGCTGGAGCATGAAAAGGGATTTATATGCCCATAATGAGGAGAATGAGAATAAATGCGCAAAGCAAGTAAGCAGCAGATGTTGGGTGACGCTTGTTAACAGCCGGCGTCCCTGCAGTGGGAAAACACAAAGCCCCCAAAGACTTCCACCCTGGCAGTTCCCTGCCTACCTGCCCCCGTCTTTGCCTGGGGGTTGGATGAGACCAGAATTTTCCGGAAGGTGAGAGGATGAGGAACTCAAGCAAACACCGGAAACACCAGCCCGGGGTTCTGATGCCAAAGCAAAGCAAAGGGCCACGTTCGGGGAGAACAGGGTTTAGAAGATTCCTTGGTTCCTTTGGGGATGAGTCTGGAATGTCAGGTTTAGGAGTTCGGTCTCGCTGTGTGTGTAAAGGCAGAAGTCGAGAATGATCGTTCAACAAAGAATGGCATTATTGTGTGTTTAAACATAACCGGGGTCCTCCAGCCCTACAGGTGCAGTGAGCTTGCGGCTCATGGGGCCCCTTTGGGGTGTCTGTCAATTTCCCCAGCCTCCCCCTCTCAGTTCCATTGATTCCCCCCTGAGAATCAAGGCATTACAGAAACATGACCATGAAAATTTGTTTCTGCCCTTTTTTAATGGTGTGTCGAGTATGTTGAGCATTTTCTCGCAATAAATACTCTTTGAAAACATAATTTGTAATGACTACGTAATGTTCTAGCAAATGGAGGCCCCATAATTTAGCCACTTCCTGGTTATTGGACACATAAGTTGTTTCCACTTTTTTCTCTTTGTTTTTGCCATTATATACCGCTGCACTAAAGATCTGGGTTTGTAAATCAGTTTATTTTCTTAAGACAGCATTTCTCAAACTTCGTGGTCTCCAGACCACTTTACACTCTTTACAAAATTGAGGACCCAAAGAGGTCTTTTAAAAAAAAATTTTTTTGTAAATGTGTATTTATTTTTGAGAGAGAGAGAGAGAGAGAGAGAGAGAGCAGGGGAGGGGCAGAGAGAGAGGGAGACACAGAATCCGAAGCAGGCTCCAGGCTCTGAGCTGTCAGCACAGAGCCCCACGCGGGGCTCGAACTCATGAACTACGAGATCATGACCTGACCCAAAGTCGACACTTAACCAACTGAGCCACCCAGGTGCCCCAAAGGAGCTCTTATTTATGTGGTTTAGTTCTGTAGGTGTTTACCATTCTAGAAATTAAAGCTGAGAACCTGTTTAAGTCTCCGATAATTTATTTTTAAACAACAGCAGTGAAACCATTACGTGTTAACATAAATTTAAAATTTTTAATGAAAAATACTTATATTTTCCCAAACAAAGCTACTTGAGTGAGGAGAGCAGCAGCGTTTTACATTTTTGCAAAAGCTTTTTAACGTCAGACTTTCCAGAAGACTGCCAAATTCTCATACCTGCTCCTTCAACCAGGCTACGGTGATTTGTTGTTTGAGTTGAGTGTCTGGCAGCAAACAGATAATATTGGAAAAGGGAGGAGGGTATTAATTGCCTTATGAGGTGATTGTAGGTATTACTAAATTTGTTGGCATACTAGAACTCACTAGATGGTAGTATCTGAGAGATTTGCTGCTGTGTGCAATCTCAGACTTTCTCTGGTGAGGGTTTTGTGTTCTGTTGCAGTCAACA